AATACATCCCTCTGTACTGAGCGTAGAAAAGCAGTGCTGCTGCGTATGGATGCCAAGTTAGCTGACTTGGGAACCAAAGAATTTGGCCCCAAAGCGAAGGGTCTATTGTTTGGAGAACCCTATATTAAAGAATTACATAAGCATGTAAACCTATACGCCACACTAAACAAGGCGCAGTCATCCATGAAAAGGGTGTTTCATCATCAACCCTCACAGGTTTTTGGCAGGGCTGGCCATACAAGGGGTCGTACAGTCAGCCGTTTCTGGACCATAAACCAACGCCAGAGAACCCCAACTTCATCATTCTTCCCCAACTATCAATCAAGAGGCTCTTACACCCAAAGGGCGGATAAGGGAAGAGGATACAGATCCCGCAGACGCAACAGATACCCAACAGGTGAGATCTCCTACCTTTCACCTTTCTACTGTTTATCATGCGGGCAGGTTGTCACATTGTGTAGACATGTGGAAGACACTGTCTTCAGATACCTGGGTTCTAAACACAGTTCAGGGTTATTCCATAGAGTTTCACTCTCCCCCTTCTCAAATAGATTATCCTCACTATCCAAAAATGTCAAAGTCTCAGAGTCTTCTTCTAGATTCAGAACTACGTTCACTTCTAACAAAAGGAGCGATTCAACTCGCTCCACTAGACAAAGGTTTCCTCAGCTCCATCTTCTTAGTCAAGAAGAAATCAGGGGACTTTCGCCCAGTAATCAACCTCCGTCAACTGAACTCTTTCGTTATTTACAGACATTTCAAAATGGAAGGGATTCATCTCCTCAGAGACATTCTCCGACCAGGCGATTGGTTCACTCGTCTCGACCTAAAGGACGCTTACCTCTCGGTACCAGTACACCCATCCAGCCAGCGTTTTCTCCGCTTTCTTTGGCACCACCGGATTTTCCAATTCACCTGCCTTCCATTCGGCCTGAGTTCCGCCCCGTGGTGCTTCACCAAACTGCTCAAACCAGTCACCGCACATCTTGTTGTTTGATCTACCTCGACGACCTCTTGCTTCTCTGCGAAGACACATCCAAGCTGCGTTCACAGACGAACTATACATCTGTATTGATCGAATCCTTGGGGTTTGTCATAATCGCAGGCTCGTTCGCAATTCGCAGTTTGACCAATCATCTCTCAAACTGCTGTATTCTCCTTCGGATGGACAACATCTCAGCTGTCCAATACATCAACAAATTGGGCGGGGCCAGATCCCGCATCCTCTCCGAAGTGACAAAAGACATCTACGAGTTTTGCTTCCAACGCAACATCTCACTTCGAGCGGAATATCTCCCAGGGGAATCGAACATCACCGCGGATTGGTTCTCCCGACATTGGAGAGACGGCAGCGACTGGCGCCTACACAGAACAATCTTCCTCCACATCTCCAAACTCAGGGGCCCGTTTACCCTAGACCTATTCGCCTCTGGGACAAATTTTCAAGTCCCACGGTTCTTCAGCTGGCTTCCAGACCCAGAATGTTCAGCGGTAGATGCCTTCCTTCAGAGTTGGCCGACGACAGGAGCCTATGCTTTTCCTCCATTTGCAATGATTCCCAGAGTTCTCCTTCAGATTCGCAGACAACAGGTCACACTTGTACTACTCACTCCACTCTGGCGGGGCCAAGCTTGGTTTCCGGATCTTCTGGACCTCTCCTGCCAAGAGCCCCTCCTTCTGCCTCCATGGCCCAATCTCCTAGAGGACCCTCAAGGGAACCTTCATCCAATGATAACACAAGGCCACCTCCACCTTGTAGCCTGGACTCTTTCAGGGGAACCTGGCACTTCGGAGGACTATCGCAGAGATCTAAAGAACTCCTCTGGGATTCGTGGGCCCCTGGAACTAGAAGATGCTATCTTTCCTCCTGGAATGCTTGGTGCAATTGGTGCCTGGAATGGAATACCGATCCCCTTACGGCCCCTAGACAGTTCATTTTGAATTTCCTCTCTCATCTATTCGATCTAGGCCGTTCCTACAGATCCATCAACGTTTCCCGTTCAGCCATCTCGGCAGCCCATGTTCCTCTAGACGGCGTTCCGATGGGCCAGGACCAACTGGTTTGTAGACTATTGCGGGGCATCAAACTGGCTCGCCCCCCTAAACCGAAATACAGGGAGTGCAGAATTATTAGGCAAGTTGTATTTTTGAGGATTAATTTTATTATTGAACAACAACCATGTTCTCAATGAACCCAAAAAACTCATTAATATCAAAGCTGAATATTTTTGGAAGTAGTTTTTAGTTTGTTTTTAGTTATAGCTATGTTAGGGGGATATCTGTGTGTGCAGGTGACTATTACTGTGCATAATTATTAGGCAACTTAACAAAAAACAAATATATACCCATTTCAATTATTTATTATTACCAGTGAAACCAATATAACATCTCAACATTCACAAATATACATTTCTGACATTCAAAAACAAAACAAAAACAAATCAGTGACCAATATAGCCACCTTTCTTTGCAAGGACACTCAAAAGCCTGCCATCCATGGATTCTGTCAGTGTTTTGATCTGTTCACCATCAACATTGCGTGCAGCAGCAACCACAGCCTCCCAGACACTGTTCAGAGAGGTGTACTGTTTTCCCTCCTTGTAAATCTCACATTTGATGATGGACCACAGGTTCTCAATGGGGTTCAGATCAGGTGAACAAGGAGGCCATGTCATTAGATTTTCTTCTTTTATACCCTTTCTTGCCAGCCACGCTGTGGAGTACTTGGACGCATGTGATGGAGCATTGTCCTGCATGAAAATCATGTTTTTCTTGAAGGATGCAGACTTCTTCCTGTACCACTGCTTGAAGAAGGTGTCTTCCAGGAACTGGCAGTAGGACTGGGAGTTGAGCTTGACTCCATCCTCAACCCGAAAAGGCCCCACAAGCTCATCTTTGATGATACCAGCCCAAACCAGTACTCCACCTCCACCTTGCTGGCGTCTGAGTCGGACTGGAGCTCTCTGCCCTTTACCAATCCAGCCATGGGCCCATCCATCTGGCCCATCAAGACTCACTCTCATTTCATCAGTCCATAAAACCAGTCTTGAGATATTTCTTGGCCCAGTCTTGACGTTTCAGCTTGTGTGTCTTGTTCAGTGGTGGTCGTCTTTCAGCCTTTCTTACCTTGGCCATGTCTCTGAGTATTGCACACCTTGTGCTTTTGGGCACTCCAGTGATGTTGCAGCTCTGAAATATGGCCAAACTGGTGGCAAGTGGCATCGTGGCAGCTGCACGCTTGACTTTTCTCAGTTCATGGGCAGTTATTTTGCGCCTTGGTTTTTCCACACGCTTCTTGTGACCCTGTTGACTATTTTGAATGAAACGCTTGATTGTTCGATGATCACGCTTCAGAAGCTTTGCAATTTTAAGAGTGCTGCATCCCTCTGCAAGATATCTCACTATTTTTGACTTTTCTGAGCCTGTCAAGTCCTTCTTTTGACCCATTTTGCCAAAGGAAAGGAAGTTGCCTAATAATTATGCACACCTGATATAGGGTGTTGATGTCATTAGACCACACCCCTTCTCATTACAGAGATGCACATCACCTAATATGCTTAATTGGTAGTAGGCTTTCGAGCCTATACAGCTTGGAGTAAAACAACATGCATAAAGAGGATGATGTGGTCAAAATACTCATTTGCCTAATAATTCTGCACTCCCTGTACTCCCATCTGTGGGACGTTAATGTCATGATTCGTTTCCTCGAGACTTGGCCGAACAACGAAGATCTATCCCTCCGTCAACTCTCGGCAAAATTCACCCTATTACTTTGCTTAGTGACGAGTGTCGGATGTTCGAGCATTTGACCATGACGCTATCAACTTTTCCCCAGAGGGTGTCACTTTCTCCGTGTCCAGACGGACAAAATCAAACTCCTCTTCTATATTTTACCCTTACTTCCCTAACCACCCGAAACTGTCTGTGGTATCTCTTCTTTCTCGTTATTTGTTACTCACCTCCACTCTTCGTCCAACATCTTCCAGTCAACTATTGGTCTCATATGTCCGGCCACATAATCCAGTGTCAACCACAACCCTTGCCCGATGGGTTAGGTGGTTGCTCTCCCAAGCCAGGATTGAAGCCTCCTTCGGAGCCCACTTCATCAGAGGAGCGGCGGCATCGGGGGCATTCAGCGCTGGAGCCTCGCTTCGAGACATTCTTCAATCCGCAGACTGGTCCCGAGAACAGACGTTCCGCAACTTCTATTTTCGTCCGGCTGTGCACGCTTCCTTGGCCCTTCTCGGGGAGCGTTAAAACAGCAAATACGAAGCCTCCTGTCATGTTATAAAATTGTAGATTATGCTAGCGTTAGTGAACCTATAATCTTAATTTTATCAATGACAGGAGGCGAGTATTTCCCACCACTTTTACTTTCGTTTTTTCCCACCCTAGGGTCGCCCCTATAGGTAAGTTTCTAAGACAAGAACGAACACACTATGCCTTACTACCATGGGGGTGAAGAGTTATTTTTCTATGATATATAGATTAACTTTTCTAGCGTGCTATAATATATGTTTCATATCAACTGGTTATCATAATTTCAAAGTCCAATTCACGGATTAATTCTTGGCTTCGACTCTGCTCTCTCGTTTCAGCGTAAAACTCCCTTAAGAGGTCAAGCCTAGTTGCTGCTCCATCACAAGGTTCACCTCTACTCCTCATGATCTCAAGTCTACGTTCCTGTTTCCCTCTCAAGCATCACTCTTCTCGTCTGGCATCCTGAATCCCTCATCTGGTTCCTTCAGTTCCGGTTCCTATTTGTTCGCAGCCAGAAAGAGGAAATGACATCACTGGGAGGGACCTATATACCTTGTTATTCCTTTTTTCTTATTGGTTACCTTGTTACTATGTGAAAAAGTGCTGCTGTAAAGCTTAAGTAAAGAAAGTCTTAAGCAAATACTCGCCTCCTGTCATTAATAAAATTAAGATTATAGGTACACTAAAGCTAGCATAATCTACAATTCTCGATATTTGAATTTTTTTCAGTTAAACTAAGCAAGTATTTGTAAAACTAGTTGTTTGGTAAAAACGTGTAGCATCTATGACTGTCTGACTGTATCAAATTACTCCCGGTTTTTCTATCTATTTGTGTATCTGCCCTTCAAATATCAGTTTTTCAAGCAAATTTGAATAAGATGTAGAGTATAAGACTCATTACTGGGGGGCGTGGCCTGGACTCCGAGCGTGATGGCTGCCTAATCTCTTGGCTCCACACCACCCAGCTACAATCCGCCTGCCGAGCCCAAATGGGGAGAAAAGAGAAGCCTGACCTTCCCCAGATCACCAGGCCCAAATCACCGAGGCCAGTCACGGGTCCTATGGATGAATTCCTGGGAACCCCGGCTGGGCCCTCACTCGAGGCCCTCGCGCCCAATATGGGGAACATGTCACCATAGCCGATATCGGGGCAGAATTAAGACGCATGTCTGCCTCGATGGTCAAAAAGGAAGACCTCCAACACAACAAGCCTCCACCACCCTGCTTGCCGTACTAAAAGCCGAAGTCGCAGAATTAAAAGCGGGCATCACAGCACAGGAGTCCCGCATGAACTCTGTCGAGCAGCGAAAGGAGGCTACAGCAGAGAAAGCCAGGGCCTCTGTAACAGCCATTCAATGGCAGGGCTCTCTTTTACTGGCCATGCAATGGCAACTTGAGAATCTCGACAACAGGAGTCGCCGCAGTAACATCAGGATACGTGGAGTGCCAGAGGCTGAGGGAGAATGGGGAAAACATTGCAGAAACCCTTACCCAGCTCTTTAGGAGCAGCCTCTGCAAAGACGCACCGGATCACTTCCGCTTTGAAAGAGCCCACTGCACGCTCAGGCCGCGCATGACACATAAGGATAGGCAACACAACACTGCCTGAGCACCCACGGACTACACACCCTTAATCATAGCGAGGGGATAGGGACACCATACATTATGGTTCATAGTAGGGGGAAAGAGCAAGGGGTGGGGGATGAACAAGGAGCTACACAGGGAGGGTGGAAGGGAAGAAATGGGGGGGCATAGAAAAAAAGGGGGTTTCTATGTGCTGTGGGTGGGGGGCAGCTGGGCGAGACAACACGCCTGGTGCTCAGCCGACAGTCGTCCTGCTCTCAAAAACCACAACCGTGCACTCACGTGCTCATGCCACCTACGCACATCTTCATGGGGGGACTGGCAGTGGGGCTTAGATATCCAAGATAACAAAAGGTGGTGAGGAGCAATTTTGATGTCACATTTTGGTTTGAAATATTGTTCATTTTCTCACTCTGTAAATAGTTACCACACTCCACTGATAACTACCAACCTGAGCTAGGCATGCAACCCAACCCTATCTGTGTGAACAATTATCACTGCGGGGAGAGGGCGCTGCGCAGTGATAAACCCAGGCTGAATGTGGGGCCCTCTGCCTTTGTAGTCGCATGGATCTCCTTGTTAACACAAGGTTATTGTTACTATCGCAGTCCCCCGCCTCCCCACATTCGCGGGAACCTTGTAGGGACACCCGACCCTGACTCCGACGCAGGGGCTAACTGACACCAGGAAACACACACATTTACATTGCTTACCCGAAACACACACACCCTGCCCGATGGGAGCGAATGTCCCCACACTTTTGCCGCATCACCCCTTCCCTGTGACTTAAAACCTGTGCCGGGAGTGCTCCCTTTAGTTGTGTACCTACGGATAGCCTATGTCAAGCGGGGAAGACATATCTGGGACACCTAAACCAGGTCCCGCCGGAGACCCCACCACTGGTCGGAGTCCCGCCAACCCCCAAAGTGCTTCAGCACAGAGACGGCGGTAGTGCCTTTCACAAAATTCACAGTACATTCTCCACGTGGTCTCCCGGACAACAGCTATGTCTTACCACCCTAGCCTGCTGAGTGTCCTCACTCAAAATTGCAGGGGTCTGAACAACCCGCAACGCCGGATGCACCTTCTCAGGAGACTACTACAAAAAATAATCTTGATCACCTTTTTGCAAGAGACACACTTTCGGGAGGGGTCGGCTCCATTCCTGAAGGACAGCATGTACTCACACGGTGCATACAGCAACCACCACACTTCCAAAAAGGCAGGTGTCGCCATACTTCTGGCCACACGGTTTGACTTCATGGAATTGGACAGGGTCACTGACCCAGAGTGCAGACATATCTTTCTCAAAGGCACCATCGCAAAGCACACATACGACTCATTACTGGGGGGTGTGGCCTGTATGTCCCCAACTGAAACCAGTCACACTGCTAAATACGTAGAATACTGGCCACTCTCTCTGTGCGGGAAATCCGTGGCATACAGAAGGCCCTCTGACGCTTAAGATTGGTGGATTGCTGCACTGCACCCCACGGTAAAGGACTACACACATTACTCGGTGGTCCTCATGAGATACTCAAGGATTGACTTCCTGTTTCTACAACAGGAATCACTACCCAAGCTGCAGAGAGATTAAACTGAAGCTGCTACCCAGTCGGACCCTGGTCGGTACTGATGGGACTCACCACTCTTGCGACCCAAAACCATGAACTGGAGACTAAACGAATCCCTACTGATGGACATAGAAATTATGGAACAGGCAGATCTGCAGGGAGGCGGAGCCTAACTGCAAGAGCGAGCGGTCGCATCAAACGAGAACTCCGGGCTAGAAGCGAAAAATTGGGGGAAAACACCCACTCAACGGACCCCCAAACAAAAGCCAGGGCCCCCTGCGCGTCCCCAACAAAATGGGACGGAAAAATAGAAAAACAATCATGGACAAACCGTCCTTGGGGCTTACTATAAGGGACATGTGGAGACAGGCACGAGGCCCAAGTGGATCCAATATGGCGGCGCTCCACGGAGGCTGCTCAGACTTCTCTGAAGAAGAATCTGGAGAGGAGTACCTACCAACACTTGCAGCAGGACAACCCCCACAGCAGCACAAACCCAACCCGGACTCAGCTCCGGTAACTACAGCGGTCTTAAAACAACTACTCAATGACCTACAAACGACACTGCAAAAGGACATCACAGCGGTGCGGGGAGACCTGAAGGGCCTGACGACCCGCATGGGCGCCCTCGAAAAGACATCCACAACCAACACCAAGGCTATTGGGGAACTTCAGCGGGCTGTAAGTGACCTACAAACAAAACAGCGCAGACACGAACTCCGCCTCGCGGAATACGAGGACGACAGGCGGAGAACCACCCTGAAGGTACGTGGGGTCTCGGAAGCAATACCCGATGCAGAGCTCCCGCAGCTAGTTGAGCAATTGCTCGCCAACATACTGGCGCACTCGCACGCCCACAGCGTTAGCCCTGAACGCATCTTCAGGATCTTCAATACAGCTGGCGGCCTTTCCACACGCTCGCAGTACGGCAGGGAACGGAATCCCACAAGCTACAGGACCCAGCCGACGCAGCGCAGTTACTGCAGGCCTTGGGCCTACCTCCGGACTCCCTCAACCAGGTAGCCCAACAAGGCATCAACTCACCACAGCACTCCTGGGACTCGACGAGAACAGTCCCATTCATACCTCAGGGACTAACACCCGACCCATACGTAGTGGTCACTACATAAACGGAGACCTGCGACTATAAAACCAGCCGCACATGGACGAGTTTGATACCTGAGGCCGGTACAAAACCAGAGGTCCACACATTACCCTTAGTTTATCCCAACTCGACAGGGAAACCCCCACTGGGCTCCCGTTGAGCCACACCACCTCACTATGATCTAAGGTGGTCTTGATGCCTTCAAATGTTTTCACTCGTTTTAAGACGTTTCAAACCCCGATGGGGGACCTCATTTTTCCTCACCACAGATAATGACCTCACAGGGACATTTACAACTTGTATTTACTGCTGATCCTCTAATGATATATCATAATTTGTTTTCTGTACCTAGATTGAACCTGTCTGTAAAGCCTAGCTAGATGTGACTCGTTGCATAAGCCTTTACCCACAAAAATAGCCTACATGCGGATGTAGCTAAGTTCCATTGTATTGCTTGGTGACATGGGCAGGAATGGTTCGCCTCACGTTACCTGGGTTCATATTCACCCTTTTTTTTTTTGTACACATCTATGTAGTTGTATTACCAGCTGGGCATTCAGAAAGCACCATAAGTTGGTCCTGAACATATAGAGTTTTGCTACACAAGTAATATAGCATAGTAGCGGCTATACCAAAAGTAAGCCCAATCTCCCACTCATGCCCAGCTCGCATCTTGTATGCACAGTATACTCATAGACCCTATCGCAATTTGTACGACCTACCATCATAGCATAGCAGGCTTACCTATAAATCAGATAGCGTAGATGATACCCACTCTTGCACAATAGCGGGAAAACATGCTATGTCCACCAAACATCTTTTCAAAGTCCCACACTGCGTTAGGCTGTGCACTAACATTACCCCATATTATAGGCAAGATATAACGTTGTTGACTGCTTTCTACTGCATCATAGCCTATATGAGATTAGCGCACCCGGTCTACACATCGCATACGAACCAACCATTGTTTTAACCACTGTTAACTGTAACCCATGCTTTGAGCTATACATGAATGTCCTTACCTAAGCTGAGATCCTTTTAACCACCTCAGCATGTCACTTAGAACCGCTAACAACACGCTAATTGCCTTCTCTGACCAACCCCTGATTTAGCAATTGAACGGTCTCATTGGCGAAGTTTAAGACCTATATACAAATCAGTATGCCTAACATAAATGCCGCTACGCTCAACGACAAGCATTCATTGTCACGTTTTGTTCTACATCTTGTTTTACTTTACGTTAACTAAACATTTTTTTTTTTTGACAACGTAGCCGTTTTGTTAAGCGTGATATCCATTACATAATATAAAAAATGTGCAATTTTTCTGCCACTGCATAACTACTGTAACCTTGAAATACGCTGATGTGGCGTCCGTTAATAATCTGTAACCACCTGCACAACCAAAATAAAGAATAAAAAAAAATAAAAAATAAAGAAATAAGAGAACAGATCACCAAAGCCCTAGAGTCCTACTTCACAGTCAATGTGCCAAGGGAGATCTCCAACGCCACCATCTGGGAAGCCCACAAGAGTGTCCTGAGAGGCCTCATTATCCAACTAGCCACCAAAAAGAAAAGCGGCGCCTCACGGATAATGGACGATCTGCTCGCCAAAATCGGCGACATCGAGGCAAGTCACAAAAAGACTCTCGGATGAAAATTATAAGGAGCTGCTGAACCTCAGGAAACAGCTGCAAGCACTACAAAAACATACAAAGGTCCAAAGACTTTTTTTACATACACGTGAATAAAGGGGGCAAACTCCTGGTAAGAATGCTCAGAGGCCACAGATCCAAGCACAAGTACACAAACTGAAACTCACTGGGGGGAAGACGACGTAACACCCGGAAATAATAGTGAACAAATTCCTCACTTTTTATTCGACCTTATACAACCTAGACCAGAGAAACCAGAGAAACTGCACAGACCCCCCAAAACTAATCTCATTGACGCGTCAATCACGGAGGAGAAACTTAAGGCAGCAATTAAGATGGCAAAAAATGGTCAGGGTGCTGGGACTCGATGGGTTCTTCCTGGAATACTACAAGAGATTCGGTGACGCGCTCATCCCTAAACTCGTCAAAGCCCTGAACTCACTCTCTTCAGGGATTAGGTTCCACAACGAAACGCTGGCAACGACAATAACCATCCTTTCCAAACCCGGCAAGGACCAAGAGTAGTGATGTCACGAACACGAAATTTTCGGTTCGCGAACGGCGAATGCGAACTTCCGCAAATGTTCGCGAACCGGCGAACCGGGCGAACCGCCATAGACTTCAATGGGCAGGCGAATTTGAAAACACACAGGGACTCTTTCTGGCCACAATAGTGATGGAAAAGTTGTTTCAAGGGGACTAACACCTGGACTGTGGCATGCCGGAGGGGGATCCATGGCAAAACCCCCATGGAAAATTACACAGTTGATGCAGAGTCTGGTTTTAATCCATAAAGGGCAGAAATCACCTAACATTCCTAAATGACAATGAATATGGAATGACACCTGACATATGACATATTGACACCTTGACATATGGATTGACACCTGTCCTCAGAGCCCCTGATGCACACGGACACAGAGCAGAATAGGGACTGTTCCCCTTACATAGGGTCACTTGGCAGATATGGATTGACACCTATCCTAAGGATCCCTGATACACACTGACAAAGAGCAGAATAGAGACTGTTCCCCCTACATAGGGTCACTTGGCAGATATGGATTGACACCTGTCCTCAGAGACCATGATACACACTGACACAGAGCAGAATAGAGACTGTTCCCCCTACATGGGGTCACTTGGCAGATATGGATTGACACCTGTCCTAAGGATCCCTGATACACACTGACACAGAGCAGAATAGGGACTGTTCCTCCTACATAGGGTCACTTGGCAGATATGGATTGACACCTGTCCTCAGAGCCCCTGATACACACTGACATAGAGCAGAATATGGACTGTTACCCCTACACAGGGTCACTTGGCAGATATGGCGTGGTCGTGGGAGGAGGAGGATGACTTTCACCTCTTCCCCTGTTAGATTCGCGTTATGCTGTCACATCACCCTTATACACTGTGTAAAGCATACTTTTTAATTTATTTTGCAAATGCTGCATCCTTTCCGACTTGTAATTCGGTCACATTTCCGCCACTGTCTGCTTATACCGGGGGTCTAGTAGCGTGGACACCCAGCACAGGTCGTTCTCCTTCAGCCTTTTTATACGAGGGTCCCTCAACAGGCACAACAGCATGAAAGACCCCATTTGCACAAGGTTGGATGCCGAGCTACTCATTTCCTGTTCCTCCTCCTCACACAGAGCAGAATAGGGACTGTTCCCCCTACACTTGGCAGATATGGATTGACACCTGTCCTTAGGGTCCCTGATACACACTGACACAGAGCAGAATAGGGACTGTTCCTCCTACATAGGGTCACTTGGCAGATATGGATTGACACCTGTCCTCAGAGACCATGATACACACTGACACAGCAGAATAGAGACTGTTCCCCCTACATAGGGTCACTTGGCAGATATGGATTGACACTGTCCACAAGGACAAGCTGCAGGCTTCCTGGCAGGGCCCATACAAGGTGGTAGAGCAGGTTTGTGATACCACCTTTGTGATCAGTGCGGTCACAGGCACGGGAGGCAAGCGCATGCTCCATGTGAACATGCTCAAGCCATACCACGAGCGCACGGAAGAGGTAACCGCGATCTGTGCACCTGCCACTGAAGATTATGATAATTTGCCACTCCCAGATCTCCTAGACCTAGAGGGACAGAGCAGAGACCTGGGAGAAGTACAGTTAGGAGAACGGTTAGACCCCCAGGAGCAAACCCAGGTCCAAAGACTAATCCAGGACAAGAGGGCCACGTTTTCCAACCTACCTGGGTACAGTCCGTTAACCACTCACAAAGTTGAAACCCTAGACCAGACCCCCCTTCGCCAAACCGCCTATCGCATACCCGAAGCAGTTAAAGAAAATATTCAGAAAGAAATTGAGGAAATGATGCAGTTAGGGGTGATAGAACACTCTGACAGCCCCTGGGTCTCCCGGGTAGTACTAGTACTGAAACGGGATGGCACACCCGTTTCTGTATAGACTACCGGAGGCTAAACAATAAAACAACCTCAGACGCCTCATCTATGCCCCGGATAGACGAGCTCCTAGACAAAATGGCCAGAGGCCAGTACCTCACCACAATAGATCTGTGCAAGGGGTACTGGCAAATCCAATAAGCCGAGGACGCCATCAACAAGTCGGCATTTGTCACCTCGTTTGGCCTGTATCAGTTTAAGGCCATGCCATTCGGGATGAAGAATGCCCCGGCTAACTTTCAGAGGATGGTAGATAGGCTACTGGATGGGTTTCCAGGAGTATGCCTGCGCCTACTTGGATGATATAGCCATTTTTAGCTGCTCCTGGCCCTAACACCTGACCCACATAGGAGCCGTACTAGACCGGATTAGGGAGGCCGGACTGACCCTAAAGCCCAGTAAGTGCCATATAGGAACGCGTAAAAACCTTCCCAAGATAGTAGTATGGGCCCCAGAGTGTGAACAGGCCTTCCAACAGCTCAAGACGGCGCTCATTAAATCATCTGTACTTTCTGCTCCTGATCAACTAAACGCTTTCTCGTCCATACAGACGCTTCTATGTTTGGATTGGGAGCAGTACTGAGCCAAGTCGGAGCAGATGGCGGCGAGCAACCCGGGGCTTATCTAAGCCGGAAACTTTTGCCCAGGGAAGTAGATACACTGCCATTGAAAAGGAGTGCCTGGCGGTGGTGTGGGCCCTCAAAAAGCTGCAACCTTACTTGTATGGACAACAGTTTACCTTACTCACAGATCACAACAAATTTGGGGCACTGCGCGTGCAATCTAATGTGCCACCAGATAGGAGTGGTGTGTTTAGTACTATTGTTATCAGTTTAATCACTGTTACGTCCCTATCCGTTGATGTGGAGCAAGACGCAGCAGCAGAAGAGGACTCAGCCGAGGAGGTTATGGAAGAGGATGGAGTAGGAGGGAGTAGAGGAGGTGGCAGCAGGCCTGCCTGCAAGTCATGGCGGTGTCACCAACTCCTCTGCAGAGCCACGCATTCCATGCTTGGCAGCCGTCAGCAGGTTTGCCCAATGCGCAGTGTAGGTGATATACCTGCCCTGACCATGCTTTGCAGACCAGGTATCAGTGGTCAGATGGACCCTTGCCCGAACACTGTGTGCCAGACATGCCATTATTTCCTTTTGCACAATCGAGTACAGGTTGGGGATTGCCTTTTGTGAAAAGAAATTTCGTCCGGG